GGATGATTTTGGATTATATGATTTTCCATGCCTATCTTAGTCTTAAAGATATCATCACAGTGAGGGCAAGTGTACTCGTAGCTATTGCATGTTTCTGAATGCGTTCGAAGATGATCAGTTAAATGTGCTTTCTTGGTAGTCTTATATGAGCAATGTGTACACTGATGTGTTTTACAAGTAACGGTTGCACTAAATTCAGGATGTTTTTTGATTATATGATCGTACATACTGACTAAATGTTGAAATGGTGCATTGCAATGTTGGCATGTTATGCTAAGTTTATATCCGGTAGCATTCTTATGTTCTTTGGATATATGATTATCCAAACTCCTTTGATGGTTGAATTTTGCATTGCATTGTATACATGCGAAAGGTTTAAGCTTGGACTCGTAATCATTGAGCTTATGACTATCAATGGGCTTGCGATGTACACGCATATTATGTTTAACAAATTCACCTTTATAAGTAGTTTTATATTTGCAATGTGTACATTGATGTATTTTATTAGATACCGATGCAATTAAATCTGGATGATTTTGAAGTATATGATGATCCATGCCTCTCTTAGTTTTGAATTTTGCATTACAATGTATATGTACACATCTGCTAATTTTATCTCTAGAATCTTCTACATACGAACTAGACTCATGCTTATGTTCTTTCATATGTGCGATTAAACGGATCTTACTGGAGACAGTAAATTTGCAATCATTACACCTAAACACTCCCCTTGTTCTCTCACTTGCAACAGGTTGTTTCTCCAAGATTTCATCTATTACAGCGCTGGAAAAGATACATCTCTGTATAAACTGCTGAAGGAAACTTATAATAAATTGTATAAAACACTCTCTTGTTTTGTACATTACATTGCAAAATTAACCAGGGTGTCCACTCATGAGTACAATATGTGTTGCGAGCAAGTACTACAACTCGGAATTGACATTAATGGTCTGGCATTGATGATATAATTCCAACGTCTTTGCCGTGCCATTGACGATAATGGCTAAGAGGGGGTCAGCAATGTTGGTCTAGTGGGAAACGGGTTAAATATATTAACGCAAAACATATAAAAAACAAAATAAAACATAAAACCTAATTCCTGGAATTGACATCAGTTTTTACTTTTTTTCGGATTAACAATACGGATCCTATATTTTGCAACGTTTAAAAATGTATTGTAATTACATTTAGTTTTCACAAATAACGTTAATGGTTTCCTTAAACTGACGGCATATTCCATTAGAATAGCGGTTTGGACTTTAAAATTTGATTTAACATAATAGGGTTTTCAGCTGGTATGCATTTTTGAACTTTTGCACTAAATGCATATCTTGTACACCAAGAAATTTTACTATGCACGAGGAAGTTACAGTGGCAACGCGGTTCCCAGTTCTGACTATTTCTCCAACTTCTACATCCTACTTTACACCTTCCTCAAAATTTGTGGACTGGGAAGTGAAAGCAAAAAAAATTATGACCAATTCGTTAGGTATATCAATAAAATAAGTTGTTCAAATAAATCACAAGTAATCATCTTACAATGGTTTTTGTGCCCAGTAGATCTATTCGAAAAGCTGACAAAAATTGGAAAAACAAAGTATCGAAAATAAACGAGAATAATTACCTATTTCAAAGTCCATGGCAGACTACTAAACTTAAAGTTTGTGGTGTCCACATTCGACACTACTTTTTAACGGCAAAATTGGAAAGCCTTTGTATCAGCCCTTGTGTAGTGTTGAAAATCTTTGAGCATCTGAATATGGATCACAGTAAAGAGAGTACAAACTTTCATTTGATGTAACAGAAATCTGGATTATAATTTTTACTGTCACTCCTTTATACTAGTGTTATTCAGAGAGGTTTTTTATTAAGGTTCCGCCCATTGCCCCAAATGGAATAAATTATGTTTGCGAACCTTGAAGTACTACCAGATAATAGTGTCATTTTTTGCTAACTTTTGAAAAATACAACCTCATATACTGTATGTTATGGCAGGTGGTCGGAAATAGTTTTTCAAATGTTTCCTTTCCAGTGGCCTCAAATGCATTCCTAGAAAAAAAACACTTCTCCGATTTGGGCTCAACGACCGGGGAAACCTTGAAATGACCTTCAGATGCTCGTATAGTGACTGAGTGGCCGGACAAACATATGCGACAGGCGGTTGGGATCAACTGCTGGGCTTCCTTTAAAATGACAGAGACAAACTAACCTCAAATTTGAAATCGGCATCTCAAAAGTCCCTATGGTAATGAAAATCGTATAAATCAGTTTTCGGTATGTGGTATTGCAAGAATCAATAAGTACAAAATTGCACCAGTGCAAGCCAGTGGAAAACGCTATAAGAAATCATCTGCAAGCGATACACAGACATGACTCTGCATTCCATTATAGGTGTATAATCACAGGCATTTGTTTGATGTACATTTACGTCATTTGTAGCCAATGCCATTAACGGCGCGCTCGTATTACGTTATTATCAAGATTGTCTAATTTGGCTGGGCATTAATGACATTGCACGATCAACAATGTTATTACGTTTAGTTAAACTGCCCTTTTTGGTAGTTTCTATGAGCAATGTGTACAGAGACGTAATTTAATTATAATTTTTTCTCACTAGAAATGTTTTAAACATTGTTTGTCAATATTACGATTTCTTGTCGATTTATATATATACATTGTTAGAGGACATTCATATATTTTTTTATCGACAATTGCTGCAACCTCAGGACGTTTCTTATAATATGAGCATACAAAGAAATTGCTTTCGATTAACTTTTGCCTCACGGTGTTTCGCCATATAAGGTACCTAGGTCGAATATGGCCAGCCTGTAAATATGGCCACATACCGTTTTCCCAAACACGAAAGTTTGTTATGAGCTGAACGCGACCCTAAATTGTCGCTAGTGTCGCATGTATTCGAACGGCCTACCTGTCACCCATCCGTGCAAGCGTTAGCCGCTCAGCCGTCATTATAGTGAAAAGCAGTGTTGAGGTTATAAAAACAGTAAGTAAGTATTGTCCTGTATTTTAACGTTGTTTTCATTATAAATCTTTATTATTCACATTACGATGTTGTGTAATAATTGTAGTTTCATATTTCTTTGTATATTTATCAAAGTAATAGTGTGTTTTTCATTCGTGAATATGAAAACAAAAAATTTGGATGACTGCAAATATGGCCACCGTTTGGCCATATTAACAGTACTTACTGAATTGCTGACACGTTTTTTTGTTTTTTGTTTTAGACCATGGCACGCTATAAATGTAAAGGGCTTCGAAGTAATTGGGCAGATGCTAATATGAAATTAGCTTTAGCTGCAGTCAGAAGTGGTAAAATGAAAATTTATACGGCTTCCAAGCATTATAATGTGCCAAGACGCACTCTGAGACAAGAAAACAAAGAGACCAAATCTACTTTGGGCCGGAAACCACTTCTTAACCCTGAAGATGAAAAGATTTTGGAATCCCGTATTATTCGTCTGTGTAATGTGGGATATCCATTAACACAGCGTGTACTTCGTAGATGCGTGAAGACATTCTGTGATCAAAATAACATTCCAGCGCCAAGTGGAGGCTTGATGGTGGGACGAGATTGGCTGAGAGGATTTTTAAAACGTCATAGGAATATCAGTAGACGAAAAGCACAGAACCTAAACCCCGCAAGGGCACAAAACCTGAATAAAGCAGTAGTTTCCGATTATTTTAGTAAATTGAAGAAAATCTTAGTAGAAAATGACCTTATGAACAAACCGGAACGTATCTATAATATTGACGAAAAAGGTTGCCAGCTTAATTTGCACAAATCACCAGAAGTTTTGGCTGAACGTGGATCCAAGAGAGTACATTTGGTAGCACCCGAACACGGCGAGAATGTAACAATAGTTTCATGTGGCAACGCTTTAGGCCATGTCATTCCGCCCATGATACTCTTTAAGGGCAAACGAATCAAGCCAGAATGGGTAGATTCGTTACCCACCGGTTCAGTAGCCCAAATGACACCCAAAGGGAGTATGAATTCTGAAACATTTGTGAACTGGACACACCATTTTGCAAAATTTAAATTGCCAGGACCTTGTTTACTTATCTTGGATGGAGCGAAGTGCCACTTAGACTATTCGATAGTTGAAGCAGCAGAACAATTCGACATCAAGCTTTTCTGTCTCCCGAGCAACACCACACATCAATTGCAGCCCATGGACAAACCAGTATTTCGTTCTTTTGAATATTACTGGGATGAAGAAGTTTTAAAATACTGGTCTATTCACGAGGACAGGAAAATAACCAAAAAAAGGTTTGGGATATTATTTTCCAAAGTGTGGGATAAAGCTGCGACACCTGCTAATGTCAAAGCTGGATTTGAAGCGACCGGAATTTTCCCATTCAATCCAGATAGGATTCCAGAAGAAGTATACGCTCCCAGCATACCTACTCATAATTTCGCAGAACCTGGAGCTTCTCCTTCTGAAAATCAAGAAAATGGAGATACTAACGACAGCGAAGCTACAAATCTGTTAATTCCTCCTCAGGAAAATGAAGATACTAATGAAAGCGACGTTACTGATGCCAGTGGAAATTCTCCTTATCCTCTCCCAAATGAAGACAAAGGTAATTCAAATCCATCAAATGATTTCTCAGATTCACAGCCAAGCCAAGCAAAGCGTTGTGCTGCAACTCCAGACAACGCCTCTGATGATTATCCACAACACCCAAATCAAGAAGATATATCGAACTTTATAGAACCCCTGCCAAGTGTTTATGACGATTACGACAGTAGCGATCACATTCCTTTGTCCAAACTAAAGCAACATAACAATAATATCGAGTCAAAAACTGAATTAAATGTAGTCTGCTCCACAACACTTAATGAGTCATATACTTCTTTGTGTCAAATGTTAAAAACTCCAGAGAAAACGTCAAGCCCAAAAACTGCTCCGAGGGCAAAAGCTATCAATAGTCTCGCACAGGCGCTAACAAAATCAATGTTTACAGATAAAAATAACATGTCAGGGCCATCAAATGCTCCTAAACAAAAAATAGAAAATATACCAGGCCCATTTAAAGTGGCTTACCAAAAAAGAAAATATTCTGCTAAAAGGAACAACAGTGAAGCAGTAACTCCGAAGAAGGTTTCTAAACAGTCACGTGGTAAAGGACAATCTGAAAAATCTAAAGATTCATGGTACTGTTATGTTTGCAATGAGGACAGAATAGCAGACATGAGAATTAGAGACCGACCGAAGTTTCGGATTCGGTTTCGGCCAAGTTTCGGCCAAAAAACCGGTTTCGGTCGAAGTTCCGGTTTCGGCAGCAAATTGGCCGAAACTTTCGGCTTGGCCGAAACATACGATCGTAATAACAGCTCGTTCAGACGACTCGGTCACGATCATTTAATCGAACCGGTAAAAGTATCGAATCTCGCAGTGGCGCAATATTTTAAATCTGCATATTCACACGATGCGGTCGTACCCCATATACGGGAAAACTGCCGATTCGTTCGGACTTGCATTCGGTTCGCGCCACTGGCAACCGTATGGTCGCATGCGGTTGTGTTCGGGAAAAAAACCGAATCGGCCTTCAGTGGCACGTACAATGTATATTGGCCATTTCACCTCCAGTCGCGATTCGATTATCTTGCCGAACGGCACTTGTTTTCGGCTTTAAATAGTTTGCTCATATTTATGGTATATACCTACATATATACAATGGAGAAAATAAATACGGAGCTGTTGATAAGTTTAGTGGAAGCGAGACCCGCTTTATGGGATAAAACACTTGACACATATAAAGACAAAAATTTAAAGTCGTCAGCATGGAGAGAGATATGTTCTCTGTTAAAGGAGAATTTCGAAGATATGGAACAAAAGGAGAGGCAGGCTTTTGGTAAGTATTTTATTGTTTATTTTGACATACATAAATTTACTAACCGATGGCTTCATCTTGCCAAGAAACAGAACCAGCTTCTGTTAGAAAATAGTCAGCAAAAGTTGTTCTTATGGAATTGGCAGATAGTCCTCCTCGTATATTTTGTGCTTTTGGTAAGTTGTCAAGGTGGATTTCTGGCAAATGAGCGTTTTCAAAATTAAACCCGTCTTTTTCTCGGACAAAATTATGTAACACAGTACACGCTTTTACTATCCATATTGCTGTTTCTAGTTTAACATCTAGAGGACGATGAAATATCCTCCATTTATTAGCTAAGATGCCAAATGCACATTCAACATATCTTCTAGCGCGAGTAAGTCGGTAATTAAATATTCGCTTTTTCTTGTCTAAATGTGTACCGCCAAAAGGCCTTAATAAATTGTCATGCAATCCGAAACCTTCATCGCCAATAAACACAAAGGGTACATTTATTTGTGTCTGTTCTAAAGGTCTGGGTGTTGGTATGTTTAAAGCGCCCTGTGTAAACTTTTTCCACAATGTAGATTCTTTCCAGATTGACGAATCACAATCTTTTCCATAGGACCCTATATTCACGTATATAAAACGATATTCTGAATCTACGACTGCTAATAAAACAATAGAGAAGTAATCTTTGTAGTTGAAGTACATAGAGCCAGTGTTATCGGGTTTTCTCAGTCTTATATGTTTCCCGTCTACCGCACCGAGGCAATGCGGGAAATTCGTTTTCATCCAGAATCCATTCGCTATTTCCTCCCATTTATCTGGCGTATCAGGGCATGCCATAAATTTAGTACCCATATTATTCCATATACTCCGAGTAACTTCTCTCACAATATTGCTAATTGTTGAGACACCAACTCGGTAGGAGTAATGCAGATCTTTATACGAACACCCAGATGCTAGATACCTGAAAGGAAGGAACGTTTTATTTTATTTGTTCCAGGTAAGCTGATTTTAAAAAAGTGGACATACATTCGAGACTCGTGGATGAAAGCATTGAAAAAACATAAAGACCAAAAAACAAGTGGCACATCGACCAAACCTTCAAGACTTTATATATATAATGAGCAGATGTCATTCCTGAAAAAAATTACAGATTCAACTGTTTGTCATGAAAACACTAATAATGAAAATAACACCGAGATAGAAGACTTGGATGCAGAAGTTATTGAAGAGAGTGTTCCACCTGAACAACCGAATATGGAAGCAAATCAGTCTGGTAGTACTCCCATCAGTACTTCTACTGCACGCAGAAAGAGGAGTATTAATGAAGTTGATGCCAAAATGATGCGATTCATAGACCATCAAATCAACTTATCCAAGGTTTCAACAGTCAAAGAGGATGAAAATCGTCATCTTACATTCTTCAAAAGTCTTCTTCCATCATTATCATCGTTTGATGAAGATGAAACTTTGGAATTTCAGTCGAGTGTGTTAAGTTTATTGCAAAATATGAGAGCAAAGAAGCGAAGGTTGGCCGATAATATTCAAATGCCATCGCGTACAATTGCCACTTATTACAATAATTGGCAAAATCATGATTATTACAGTCAGCCACAGCCACAAACAATTTCAAGAGTAACAACACCAATGACTAGTCCATATACTGCCGAACCGTCACCCTCTACACAGTCTGTTGCAAGCCAAGATTCTATTTTAGATCTAGATATTTCCAATTTTTGATTTGTTTATTTGTATATAAAATAAAGTTTTTAAAAAATGACACCTACCTTAAGCATATCACCAATTTTTCCTCAGCACTGATACATGTTCTCATATTTGTGTCTTCTCGAGTTAAGTCTTTTTTCACTCTATTAAGTAGGTCATCAAACGTAGAGGAAGACATCCGAAAATAATTGAAAAATTTAATTTCATCTCTTCTTAATTGACACATAAGTGTCCGGAAGGACCCCAAATTAAATCTTTCTCTAATAATAGGGTGTTCCCAATATCTCCTTATTACTCGTTTTTTACAGAGTCTACGATACCAATACATTAAAACCAACATATTTGCATTCATTGTGCCAAACTCAATCAACAACTGACAAGAAGCGTATCCGCGCAAAAATATTATACCGCATCGTGTGAACACTGGACCCGATTCGGTTAAAATGTCGTTTCGGTTAAATTCCCGTGCCGTACCGTATCGTGTGAACGAGTTGTAAGGTCTCGGGATATGTCCGGTTGTAGTCGGGCGATCGCTTCGTGTCCGTACGCGTTTCATCACGTCACTTGATCTTCGCCGACAAGCTGGTCACGCATTTATTACATTTATTAGGTAGTGTGCGTATTAAATAAAGGTAAGTATTTAGTAATTATGTATTCTGGATATACTATATTATAATTATTGATAATTTCTATTTCGAAATAAGAGGGAGAGTAATAAATCATCAGTTTACACCAGGTTCTGCAGTAGGTCATACGCGTAGAATATTACACAATTATCTCAGTAACAGCAAAGAAAAGCTCATAAAACTTTACTGTAATTAATGAATAATTACAATGAAGATCAATAATATTAGTTCAATTTATATTTGATTATCGAGTGAAAACTGAAAATTATCTGTTTCAGATAGAAATGTCTCAAAGAGAAAGAAATCCTATTTGGCAGTTTTTTGAAAAGAGCACAAATGATTTATCTAAGGCAGTTTGCAAAATCTGCAAAAAGTCGCTCTCATTAGGAAGTCAAGAACCCAAAAAACAAACACTATATGGAGTGATGCAGCATTTAAGTAAGTTCCATGGCACAGAACACATACAAGTTTTAAAGCGGCAGTCTGAATTAGAGAACATAAAAAATGAACTAAACATACAAAAAAGAACTAAAGTCTCTCTAGCGGTTTTAGAAACTGATAAGGGTAATCAACCTACCCTGGTCCAGTCGACCATTCCGAGTTTGGCTAGACCTAAATGTGTACAATGGCCAGATGATCATGAAATTTCACGGAGAATAGACAAAGCGATTATGGATTTGATGATTGTCGATATGTTGCCGTATTCGTTGGTCAGTGGTGAAGCATTCCAAAGACTTAATTTTGCTGATCCTGATGCTTTTCATAAATATAGACTGAAGAGTGAAAAATTTTTCCGAACAACATTAATGCCGCAAACTTACGAACGAGTAAAGGCTAAAGTCAAAAAATTAATCGCAAAATCCGATTGGTTAAGTGTGACTGCCGACATATGGACCAAAACTAGCAAATCATGTTCCCTTCTCAGTCTCACAGGTCATTTCATTATAGAGCATCAACGCCTGAAAGTTATATTAGGCGCAGCTGTTATGGAACAAGACCATACTAGACAGTACATTGAACGAAAATTTACGGAAATGATCAATGAGTGGAACTTAAATTGTAAGATTTTTTTAGTGTTGCGTGATAATGCCGCAAATATGGCATGTGCAATGCGGACAGGACACTATGAGTCTCTTGGCTGTGTATCGCATACGCTGCAATTAGTGATCAAGCAATCGTTATTTGCTGATGAAGACACCACAGAAATTATAAAAAAATGTCGGAAGATAGTAGGCCATTTCTACCACAGTGAACCAGCGACAAGAAAATTGAAAGAATGCCAAATCCAATGCGGGCTGCCAGAACATGCTCTGGTTCAAAGTATTGATATAAGATGGAACAGTACCTATTTGATGTTTCAGAGGCTGTTAGAGCAAAAAAAATGCTATTAACCTCTACACTGTTCAGCATGGTAAAATAGATACCCTTTGTCCCACCGAATGGGAAATTATGAAGCGACTCGTCGAAGTATTGAAGTTCTTTTACGAAGCCACCCTTGATTTATCATTGAATGACGCTTGTATTTCTATAATCATACCTCTAATATCGCTACTCAATCGGAAATTACAAGCTCGAATGGAAAACGAAGATGAGGGTATGACAATGACGAAAAATCGGTTATATGAGACAATGAACCAAAGAATGTCCCTCTTGAAAGAGCATCCATCGTTAATTGCAGCAACATTGCTGGACCCACGTTTCAAATCGAAGTACCTAACTCCCAATGCTGTTGAGATCGGAATCACAGAAATTGTATCTTTTTTGATCAGAAGTAGTAGCGACAGCGCGGTGAACAGAAATGCTATTCATTCTTCTTCTGCAGAACCAGTGCTGGTTGAATCCAATACTCAGAAACAAGACGAAAGTCTTTGGGATACCCATGACGATAACCCCGGCGGTACACCATGTGATAATAATGGATATGATGAAACTTCTATACTAAAACAAACAATCGAGTGCTATTTGTCGGAGCCGCGACTACAGCGGAATGCCGACATATTTTCTTATTGGAACTCCAGCCCCTCCCCGACGTTGAGGGAAGCGGTGTTGAAATACCTGTCTGCACCACCGACCAGTATCCCCAGCGAGCAAATGTTCAGTGCTGCTGGGCAAATATATGCAGATCGGCGAAGCAATTTGCTAGGAGAAAATGCGGAAAAACTACTTTTTTTATCATATAATATAAGGCTTTTTGGTTATGTTTACTAGTTTATTGTCAATTTCTATATAGAAAATCTATTTTGAGTTAAAAACTTTTAGTTGTTTTGGTGATGTTTATGGAAGTCACAGGACATACATGTTTGTTTTCATATAAGTGCAATGTAATAGATAATAGATATTTATTTATGATTCGTTTTGTTATATTATTCTAGTATTTCAACTACCAACATGTTAATGGAATACATTCTTTTATTTCAAAAATTAACTTTTGTGTTTTTTCAAGTACCTAACCTTACTGAAAAAGAAAAACATACATTATGGGAGATACGTTTTCAAAGACCTTTAATAACTTCGTAAACCTCTAAAATCGAAGAATCACGTACATCCTCATTCTTTTTTTTTATACTCCAACTACCACGAAGGCCTAAGGCCTAAACACCCATGGGGTACTGTGGGGCTACAGGGGGATACAGGGGTCAGGGGGAACGCCACACGGACTCTGGCGAGGGAACACGTGTGCATGCAACATGCACACATTCTGGCCCCGCCTACGAAATCCGTCGGGTGGTACCTCCGCGTTCGACAGTCAGATACCGTCTACCACCTACGGACAATCACAACATCCATAAAAAAGAGAAAAATTTCTCCTGGGACGGGATTCCAACCCGCACAGCGCACGGTGACTGATCAGGAGACCGAAGAGTCTACTACTGCGGCCACCGCTGCTGCCCATAAGTCAAAGGAAAGTTTCTGTTTCGGTTTCGGCCGAAACCAGGACGGAAGCCGAAGGTTCGGTTCCGGTTTCGGTTTCGGCTGAACATCAAGATTCGGTCGGTCACTAATGAGAATATGCTTTTTATGTGAAACGTCCATGAGGACTGTGTTGGATTAACAAAAGAAGATACAGATAAATTTGTATGCACTCGGTGCAGTCTGGACTAACCACGACGATGATAATGTACTGGATGTCGCCTAAACAATATCTTTTAAATAAAGTTGTATTAAAATCTAATGTCCATTTTTATTTCACTTATTTAGAAGTTATTTAAAATAATATATAATATGGCCACATATATGGGCATATTTACCTACCCCGTCGGAAATATGGCCAAATTTCAATTTTTTTTCAAACTGTTGAAAATATTTCTATCATTTAATATCTTTGTATTTTTCTGCCTTCATCATAAAGTTAAATATTCAGTCTTCATGGACAACTATTTTGACTTGTTTCTTTTATCTTTATTATTTTAGAAAAAAGTTAAGAAACCCTAAGGTGGCCATATTCGACCTAGGTACCTTTTTTAGCTAAGTTAGGTCAATGTCCATACATTTCATACGTGCAATCAATTATTTTTCTAGAGTCAGATCCAGTAAATTTAGGTTGTTTTTTAACAATATGGTTATCTAAAGATTGTTTAGTTTAACATTTAATCTCATTGTATTTCACTAGAAAGAGAGTCAGTAGATTCGGGATGTTTCTTTAGGAAATGCTCATTTTTTACGTTGCGTGACAATTCTTACACTTGGTCAGATCAGAATTTTCAGGAAGCGTCTCCCAATGTTGCTTTTTCTCATGTTGGTCTGAAGTAATTCCGACAGTAGTTTTGTATGAACAATGTAAATATTCATATTTTGTTGGACGCCAAAGCCACTGAATCCAGATGTATTATAAGTCCATCCAAAAGTTGATAGCTTCATGCTAAGTGAGCAACTGTTAGCAACACAGAAAACAATCACACATAACCTTACATTCCATTCTATCATAATAGGCATCTGTTTGACAGGCATTCACAACATTTCCCATCTCAGCTGGGCATTAACGAGTTTAACCAGCCAAAAATGTTATTGACCGGTTTACAGAGACAGCACTATATATATTCACTGGCATTCACGGCATTTCTAGACAATGCTGTTAACGGCGCGCTTGTATTACATTATAAACATTGCCCAACTCGGCCAGGTATTAATGACATTGCCCGGTCTATACGGTTATTGCCCGATTTATAGCCATTCCGCGTAAAAAATATATAATGATTTCTTATGCCTGGCTAAATTGCTCGTTTTGGTAGTTCTATATGAGCAATGTGTATATTGACGTAATTAATTATTTTTTCTAACTAGAAATGTTTTAAACGTAAATGTTCGGCAAGATTACGTTTCTGTATTGATTTATATGTGAATTGTTGACATTCATATGTTACTCTATCGACAGGTGGTGCAAATTCCGGATGTTTGCTGATAATATGGGCATCCAACGCGTATTGCTATTTAACGCGCTAACTACTTACGACTAACTTTTGCCTGAGGGTGTTTCTCCAAATGTTTAGCTAAGTTATGAGAATGAATGGTTTTATACGTACAATACGGACAAGCACTAATTTTTCTAGAGATAGATCCAGCAAATTCAGGATGTTTCATAAGTATATGATTATCTAAAGATTTTTTAGTTTTGAATTTTTTGTTACAATGGATACACGTTATATTATAGGTATCGGACACCTCTGGGTGTCCAAGCATATGCTTAGCGAAAAGATGAGGCTTGGTAGTTTGATATTCGCAAACTGTACATCGATGTACTTCACTAGAAAGAGATTCAATAGAGTCGGGATGTTTCTTCAGCAAATGCTCTTCTAAGTTTTCATCATTTTTTAGTCTTGCGTGACAATTCTTACACTTGATCAGATCAGAATGTTGTTTTTTCACATGTTGGTCTAGATTATTTTCGACAGTACTTTTGTATGAACAATGTGAACATTCATATATTTGGCTAGATACAGTAGCTATAGAATCAGGATGTTTTATGAGTATATGTTCATCTAACATTTTCTGGCTTTTGAATGTTGTTTTACAATGTTCACATATGACATCGAACTTAGTGGTAACCGTTTTTGAATGTTCCTTCATATGTTCGTTCAAAGAAGTTTCTATAACAGTTTTATATGAACAATATACACATTCATATACTTTCTTAGACACAGTTGCTACTGCCTCATTATCAATTTTATGTTGTTGAATGTGGCTGGCTAACTTATACTTATTAATAGTCTTATAATCGCATTGGGAACAATCGTATATTTCTCTAGAAACTGATGCAATATATTCAGGATGACTTTTAACTATATGCTCATCCCGCCATTTCTCCGTTTTGAATCTAGTATTACAATGAATGCAAGCATAACTATAGGATGGCTCATGCGTTATCATATGGCTTCTTAAATTATTTGTCTTAGTAGTTTTATATTCGCAAAGCGCACACTGATGTATTTTACTCGACACAGACAAAATAAATTCAGGATGTATTTTGAGTATATGCTCATCCAACATTCTTTTCGATATAAATTCTTCATTACAATACGTACAATTAACGAACTTATAATCAATACTCGCTTCAGGGTGTTTCAACATATGCCTAGATAAATATATTTTTCTTGGAGTTGCATACGCACACAGTGTACATTCATATATTTGAAAAGGTGCAGACGCTATGCGATCCGGATGTTTTCGGATAATATGACTACTCAAAGATTTTTTATGTTTGAATGTTGCTTCACAATGTTCACATTTTATAAGTTTGTCATAGCTAGTTACTTCAGGGTGAATTAACATATGCTTAACTAAAGAATCTTTACGATTAGTTTTATACTCACAGTATGTGCATTGATGTATTAGATCAGATATTTTTAAATGTTTCAACATATGCCTTCGCAAATAACTGGGCTTAGTAGATTTATATTCACAATGTGTGCACTGATGTATTTTTGACGACATAGATCCGATAAATTCAGGATGTTTTTGAGTAATATGATGATTCAACAAAGCTTTTTTTCTGAATGTTTCACTACAGTGTATACATTTGCTGAACTTATAACTATCCGTTGAATTAGGATGTGTTTTAATGATATGGTTCTTCAGCAATACTTTACTTTTAAATTTTGAATCGCAATGTGTACATTTGCTAAGTTTAGAGTTTTCTGTTGATTCAGGGTGTTTCAACATATGTCTAACTAAGTTACATTTACGAACAGTTGTATACGCACAGTGGTTACAATGAAGAATTGTATTAGAAGCTTCCGGATGTTTCAGCTTATGACTGGTTAGATGACTCTGTCGTACGGTTTGATACGGGCAATAAGAACATTGATATACTTTAGAAATAGATGAGATAAAATCAGGATGTTCTCTGAGAACGTGACTTTTCAGAACGTCTTTCGTTCTAAACGATGCGTTGCAATGTACACAATTGATAAATTTGAAATTACCACTTGCCCTGGGATGGTTTAACATATGCCTGTCTAATTCGCTCTTATATGTCGTTTTATATGTGCAAGCTGTACATGCATGTATCCTACTAGTCACTGAAGCAATAAAGTCCGGATGATTTCGTATTATATGACCGTCTAAGCCTTTCTTCGTTTTAAATATTGTATTACAATAAATACATGTGCTAGGTTTCTCCCTAGAACGGTGTGGTAAATTAGTGTTCTCTTCATTCAGGTGTTCTTTCATGTGTTCGATTAAAGAGATCTTATGGGATACAGTAAAATAACAATTAAAACATGTAAATAACTCCCCTCTTGCTGTTACACGATGATTCTTCGATACTACATGTCTTACAGCACTGAAAAAGATACATCAGTATAAAAACCAACTCATACATTTCTGTGAAATTTAAGAAAAGTTTTATAGAAACTTTTGTCCTTGTAACACAAATTTCATCAGGGTATCCACTTCGAATCATGAATATAACATCTACATAACAACTTTTTGACCACAAGCTTGACTCACGTTTTCTCTGATATATACATTTACTAGTCCAGAAGTATCCTAGTATCTGTTTGGAAAAATATTCTGATTCGGTTTTTTGCTTAATCTTATTGAAAAACAAACCTTGGTTCTATTTTTTTTATCATTCTGAACAAAAAAGGTTCTTAGTCGATCTATAAAGTTAAGTTTTCGAGATTCAAGTTGAGGAATCAGCCAAAAATTTAGGTGTATTATTAGACCAGAACCTCAAATTCATTCTTCTCGTGAATGACGCTACTAAAAGGTGATTTGTGATCGCTATATCTTAACTGACAAATACTTGATTTAAATAGTACATAGATCTTACTTACTTACTGTAAATAACAGAAGTATATCTTTCATTTTTAGATTCTAACCACTACCAATCCCCCATTTTTACAAGAAAAGCTAATAATTCGTGGGTGTACCAACACATTTGTTTTCTGAATTTGTCAAGTTTGCCTCTTCACAAGACATTATTCTTCAAAAATACTTATACTGTCATTATGATATGCAATGCATTACTACCGCCTACAAAGCTGTTAACTTCAACCATTTGAAAAAGCATGTTAAAACAATTTTCGAACAAATTTCTCTAAAATAAGAACTACGCAGGTCCTTTGAAACATAATTTTAACATAACAGATACATTATATAATACTGCTAGACTATACTATAATTTATTCAGTTATACATTTTTGATATTCATTTATTTTTTTAAGGGTTAAGCGGTAGAATAGCTATCTGCACCCTTAATAAAGACGATTTATTATTATTTAAAATTTGAAAAAGTGCGAAATATGCCCCGGAAAACTATATAAAAAACAAAAATTTGAAAGCTGTAGAAGCTCCCAGAGATCTATCAAACATGCAATAACAAAATCCCAAAGCATTTTAGAGAGTACTGTTATTGTAACCATTTGTTTTTTAATTCTTCTCTTTAGCCTAATGTCTATTCTGCATGAGCAAAATTAAGAATTTCGTTTTTTCATATTGTTTTTCAAGATCGAAAATACTGAATCGTACATATCGCGAAAACTATAAACTTTAGAGAAAAGTCCATAAGAATCATTTTTGTTAGAAAAAAAACATCTAAAAAATCTTTATCTGGAACAATTTTTGACGCAATGTTTGGCCTAGAATCATTAAACGGGGTCCTTTTTGGAATATCCTAAAAAACCGAATCAAAATATTTCAGTCACGAAAATACTTTCATCTATAATTGAAAGTAAAGGCTCACAGGGTGTTAAAGAAACTAAAATTTGAGGGCAGATGAAGAAAAAGAAATCCAAAAAGGAATAATTCCAATTTTCTGCAATTATAACATATTTATTCACGTTATTCCACATGCCACGACAATAATACGACCAGAAACAATAAATAAACAATTTTATTTTAAGTTAGCTTATAGATATTCATTTCTCTCCAGATGTTTCAAAAGATGTTTAGCTAACTGACCCTTCCTAATAGTTTTATATGTACAATACTTACATTCATGTATTTTATTAGACACAGACGCTATAAACTCAGGATGTTTCATGACTGTATGTTGATCTAACCACTGCTTACTTTTAAATGTAGCATCACAGAGATTGCATGGTATAGACTCAACACTACGAGGTGCGCCTGAATGTTTAAGCATATGTCTAGCTAAATCACTCTTCCTGATAGTTTTAAATGTACAATGTGTACACTCGTGTATTTTGCTAGTCAAAGTTGAAATGAATTCAGGATGTTTTTTAACTATGTGGTTTTCCAGTATTTCTTTTCTAATAAATGTTGCATCGCAGTGTGTACAATTCAAAGTTTTGCTACCGATCGTTTCAGGATGTTTTGACATATGTCTAAATAAGTCACATTTTTTAATAGTTTTATATGCGCAATAGGTGCATTCGTAAATTTTACTGGACACAGATGCTGCATATTCTGGGTGTTTTTTTACTATGTGATCTTTTAGTACTTCTTCTCTTGTAAAAGTTGCGTTGCAATGTATGCAATTGCTGAATTTGAAGTTATCAATCGTCTCAGGGTGCCTCAACATATGCCTAGTTAGATGATTTTTTCTAGTCGTTTTATATGAGCAAAGTGTACACTCGTGTATTCTTCTAGATGTTGTTGAAATGAATTCAGGATGTTTTTTGGATATATGATCATCCAAGCTCATTTTATGTTTAAATGTTGCGTTACAATGTATACAAGTGAGAATTTTACTTTTGGTGCGAAAATTGCTGAACTCACAGCTACTAACTGTTTCTGGGTGTTTTAACATATTATGTCTAGCAAATTCACTTTTATAAGTAGTTTTATATATACAATATGTACATTGATGTATTTTACAAGATACTGATTCAATGAAATCTGGATGATTTTGAATTGTATGATGATCCAAACCTTTCTTCGTTTTAAATGTTGTATTACAGTGTATACATGTGCTGAGTTTATCTTTAAGATGTAGGTAAGCATTATTTACATTTTTGTGTTTTTTCATGTGTTTGATCAAGCGGTTTTTATTGGATACTGCTAAATTACAATCATTACAACTTAAAACTTTCCTTGCCGTTTTCCTTGTAACAGGTTGTTTCTTCGAGATGTCATGTTTTACAGCACTGCAAAAGATACATCTTTATGAGAACTAACTAAATCATTGATTTTTGGTGAAATTAAAAAAAAAGTATAGAACATTCTACACTTATTTGTGCCAAATTAATCAGGGTGTCCACTCATCATAACATCTATATGTTAAGGGCAAAGACGAGAAAGCGGGCAATAACCTCAATGGCCGGCCACTAACGATAATGCCCAACAAAGTTGGGCAATGCTGAATTATTTTACTATTCACACCAGCACGGAATATGAGCTCCGCTGATTTAAGTAAAACAATGTCATTGTATAAACTAAACGCGATGACAACAATTTGTTTTGAAACATTTAGGAATACAACAAATGTAGTGCTGAAATTTGGAAAAGCAGACACTGATGTCAAATTCAGGTTTCAGTAATATGTACTTGTTTTGCCCTGGTTACTGTTTTCGTTACTGTGTATATCTTATTATTTTTCACCTATTTGACTATAACAACATTGCCCAGCCCTTCTTGGTTGTTATCCTCACTGACCGGGTAAACACGTTGAAATGAGCATATTAACAACAGTGCCCGACCGCAATTGACATTTAACGTTAATGCCCAATTAACGTCTTCTCCCGTAACGTATACCACGTTCTAGTCTTTACCGTTTTCAGATGTCTCTACGTGTGTTAAAAGATGTCTACTTAAATTACTCTTTTTAGCGGTTTTATATGGGCAATTTGTACACTGATGTAATTTACTAGATGCTGATGGAACAAATTCAGGATGATTTTGGATTATATGATGATCACTGCCTTTCTTAGTCTTAAATATATCATAACAGTGAGGGCAAGTGTACTCGTAGCTATTGTATGCTTCTGAATGTGTTCGAAGGTGATCAGTTAAATGCGCCTTCTTGGTAGTTTTATATGAGCAATGTGTACATTGATGTATTTTACAAGTAACAGTCGCACTAAATTCAGGATGCTTTTTAATTATGTGATCATACATACTGAATAAATGTTGAAATGATGCATTGCAGTGTTGACATATGCTTTTATGTCTGGGCGCATGCTTACGTTCTCTCACATGCTTTTTGGATGTATGATTATTCAAACTCGTTTGGAGTTTGAATCTTGCATTGCACTGTATACATGGGAAAGGTTTGAGTTTGGCCTGATAACTACTGAGTTCAAAGCTGTCAATAGTTTCGGGATGTTTTCGCATACTATGTTTAGCAAACTCACTTTTATATGTAGTTTTATATGCGCAGTGTGTACATTGGTGTATTTTACTAGCAACAGATCCGATGCATTCAGGGTGTTTTTGGATTATATGATGATCCATGCCTTTCCTAGTCTTAAATGTTGTGTTGCAATGTATACATTCGCTAATTTTATCTGTGGCATGATATGTATATGCATTCGTCTCATTCTTATGTCCTATCATATGTTTGATTAAACGGTTCTTGTTGGATACAATAAAATTACAATCATTACACCTAAGCACTTTCCTTGTTCTCTTACTTGCAATAGGTTGTTTCTTCAATATCTCATATATTACACCGCTGGAAAAAATACATATCTCTATAAAAATTTTTGTGGATAATATAAGATTTACAGAAAATGTTATTTTTCTTACGTATGTAATTATATCGCAACCTTAACCAGGGTGTCCACTCTAAATCATGAATAAATTTCGATGTTACGGGCAAAGACGATAATTAATATTATCATATCATATTAACGATCTTCGCAACAACAACAAAAAATAAATGATGGCAAAATGTAGATTGACTTTGATATTGCCACACTTTTTTGAACCACCCTGTATATACCATGGATCCTGATCTCTCTAGTTTTTTCCATTATCAGATCGCATTCAAATACGTTAGAATGAGAATACCAACATTGTACGCCCACAATGTGTCCATGCCCGGCCATTAACGTTAATGCCCTGACAAAAACGTTAAAATGCGCAGTGTGTACATTGGTGTATTTAACTAGCTCTCAGATACGATGAATTCAGGGTGTTTTTGAATTATATGATGATCCATGCCTTTCCTAGTTTTGAATGTTGTGTTACAATTGAAGGGGTGAGTGGATGAAAGAGGTGTGTGACATTTTTTGAAAAAAATGAATTATAGTGGATGAAGGGGGTATGTGTTGGCTTATTTTTTTGCGCCGACACCAGTCACCTTAGCACCTATATTTACAGAAATAGTAATGCTATGTGACATATACGTGTAGGGGAGACTACGGAGGCTTGAGACTAGGGAGGAATGAGACACTACATTTATTTACTAAAATCGGGTATGCAGAGCCATCTGTTGGTTACTGGTGAATTACTTTAGTCAAGTCTCTCACCGCTTGGCCAGCGAACCGGCGAGAATAATTAGTAGAACATTGTTTTTAGTGCACGTGCAAAATGGCTGCCAAAACTAAATTTTAATTTTGTGATATCGTTGTAGTTTGCAGCAAGTTATAGTGAAAATTTGAGTTGTTTGTTGAGGCATTGTGAACGCAGGTATGTTGTGAATTATTTATATAGGTATCTCATAAAATAGAAGTTTAACAAGTATTTTAGGTTAGATTATTTTATGAAATGCTGTATAGGGAGATATGAGACAGCTGTTTTGGGGAGACATGAGACGTCCCATAACCTCCCTATGTCGCGGTTTATAAAATTCTATGATCTAAAATTCCGGTTAAACATGTGATTAACTGGATTATTAGTATTTTTGGACAATTAAAAAATGCTAACTGGATAATATTGTTCCAGATACAATATGCCCCATTTTTGGATTAAGAAAACGAAACGAATAGTCCGTCCTCCTGATGTGATGAAAACCGCAGTGGAAGAAGTTCTTGGAGGAGCAAAATTACGCGCAACTGCAAGGAAATATGATAGCATGCAACCGTTGGATGTAGGATTCATGGGGCCTCTGAAAACGTACTATGCTCAGGAAATTGAGACTTGGCTGCGAAACAACCCTGATCGTATTGTCACGCCATTTATCATTGCAAGACTATTTTCAGTTGCATATAACAGAGCAGCCACTATGGAGGTTTCGGTGAACTCGTTTAGAACAACGGGACTATTTCCGCTTAATAGAAATATTTTCCGAGATCATGATTTCTCAGTGTTCGAAGTTGAGGAGAAATTAACAGTCCCTGAAGATACTGTAAGTCGTCCTCCACCGGGATCTTCCACAGAATCTAGAAACATTGAATATACTTCAGGAAAATCAGAAGGTATCAGTTGCATTAAAACAGCTTTAGATAATCCCCGTCCAGGAACTTCCAAAGATTCTAGCGATATTGAGGATGCCGCAGATGATCCACGGCCGGGAAATTCAAAAGAGTCCAATGATCAGGGGGCTGTAAATAGTTCTCGTAAAGCCGTCAAATACCTTTCAGAACCTACAAAGCTTGTCAGTCCAGTGCAGATAAAACCTCTTCCCAAAATAAAGAGCAAGAAGCCCAGTGCTCGTGCAGGCAGTGCAGCATTGATTACCTCATCTCCTTACAAAGATGATTTAACAGAAAGTTTGGATAAGAAACGTAAAAAGGAAGATTCCGCAAAACATAGCAAAGTTACATCAGTTACAAAGAAGGTTAAGTTTGACGATGCAAGGGAAGCAAAGTTTCGCAAACCAAAAAGTACTAAACGGTTTAAAAAGAAGAGGGCCGATTTAAGTGACAGCTCAACTGATGAAAGCGATGACTTGGGAGAAGTTGTTGTTGATGATGAGAGTGATGGTGACGAAAATTATGACGCAGAATGCCTCTTCTGCACAAGCATGTATTCTGCAGACAAGCATGGTGAACAGTGGGTTAGGTGTACAGTGTGCTACAGATGGGCCCATGAAGATTGTGGTGCAGAAGATCCTATCTTTGTGTGCCCAATGTGTGAAAAAAGACAGAAAAAGTAACTATATAATGTATTTTTATGGTCTATTTACTCTAAATAATGTTATTTGTAAAGAAATTTATAGGGTCTCATATTAGGAACCCAATTTTTTTTAGTTACTTTTTACATTTTATGAGTATTGTAGCTTTATTTGAAAAAATAAATAAAAAAGTACATTTTCGTTCCGTGTTTTTTAAAGCATAAACCCTTACCAATAAAACAAATCAGTAATAACTTAAAATTTGTTATTTTTACAGAAATTATAGATGTTTTCCAAAATGGGTCTCATATTAGGCGACTTTACCTTATAGACAAACAAACGCTTAGCAGATATGTGAAAAAAAAGGAATTTGGATGCCCCTGCTGAAAACATTACGTATTCACCTGATTTTAAAACTGCGTTAGTGTTTACCCATAAAGAAGAGGCTATGCTGTCGGATTATCTAGTCCGTGCTTCGCAAATGCATCATGGTTTAACAGTTACATGCGCACGTCAACTAGCCTTTCAATTTGCTAAGGCTACCCATAAAAAATATCCTATGAAATGGGATGAAAAATCAATTGCTGGCTACGACTGGTATCGAGGTTTTAGACATCGCCACCCCGAGTTATCGCTGAGGACTCCAGAGTCAACCAGTTTGTCACGATGTACGAGTTTTAATCGCACAAATGTTACCACGTTTTTCAACAATTTGGAATCGGTCCTAAAGCGCGAAAAGTTTGAATCTCATCAGATCTGGAACATCGATGAGACAGGGCTTACAACTGTACACAAACCACCCAAAGTCCTGGCAGCGAAGGGCGTTAAACAAGTTGGAAACGTCACGTCTGTTGAACGTGGCACATTAGTAACTGCCTGTTGTGGTACTTATTAGTGCTGGAGGAAGATTCATCCCGCCGTTTTTCGTCTTTCCAAGAGTACATTTCAAGGACTATATGTTAAGTGGCGCTTTTCCAGGGAGTGTTGGAGTTGCTAATTCCAGTGGATGGATGTCTTCCGACGAAAACTTTGTTGTTTTCCTGGACCACTTCATAAAGCATAGTGGTTGTTCCGTGGAAAATAAAGTATTGCTACTGATGGATAACCATGAGAGCCATATTTCCGTTAATTCCGTAAATTAAATTGAATAGTGATGCTCACGTTTCCATCACACTGCAGCCCTTGGACGTATCGATTTACTTCCCCTTTAAGAATTACTATAATTCGCAGTGTACATCATGGATGGTTTCCAATCCAGTTCAAACTTTGTCCATTTACAATATTGCTGCTTTAGCTAGTCAAGCGTTCGAATTAGCTTTCACACCAAAGAATATTTTATCCGGTTTTTCAGCGACTGGCATTTATCCGTTAAATCGCAATGTGTTTACTGAAATTGATTTTATGTCTAGCGCAGTAACCGATCGACCACAGGAAACATCAACTACAATTTTAGAAGATGCAGCATCTATATCGAAAACCGGCGTGCAAGAAGAAATTTCGAACCATACAAACATTCAAGACGACGCCTCAACGTCAAAAGTCCACGTGCAAGATCGCGATTTAAACACTAAACAAAATTTTGTTAGTCCAGAAATTTTGCGACCCCTTCCGAAGGCAGGCCCACGAAAACGGATAACAAAGCGGAAATGTGGTTCCTCAAGAATTCTTACCGACACACCAGAAAAAGAAGCAATAGAGGCTGAGGCAACTGCTCGGAAGATAAAAAAAGTTTTTCCGTTGAAACATGACGATCTTTTATCAATGACAAACAAACAAACATCTCGACAGAAACATGCAACCCCACAACAGTCTTCTTCAAATGACGAAGAGGAAGAAAGCGAGTTGGACGGAAGCAGCGAAGATATTTCAGATGTTGAAAGCTACGAAAGAGAAATGCTTCAGATTAAAGCTCTTGAGGATGTCAAAACCCTCCAAGTGGGAGACTTTGTTTTGGTTAAGTTTTGCACAAAGACTTCAACTATGCATTATGTGGGTCTGGTAATATCAAAGGAAGATGTTGAATACGAGGTAAAATTTTTACGTCGTCACGGAACCACTTGGAAATTTATTTATCCGCCAGTGGAAGATATTTCATCAGTTCGAGAACAAGATATTATTTTGAAATTACCGTTTCCAAAAAATGTAGGTGGAACAGAAAGAGTTAAATCTACTCTGACATTTGGTCTGGACTTCCAATATTATCAAAATGTTCGTTGATTTTCCTTATTATTGTCATTATTATTTGTTTAATTAATTAATAGACAGTTTTCGTTGTTGATTAATATTAATAAACTTCTTGGGTTGTCGATTTTATTTATGTACTTTTTATTTCTCCAACAATTAATAAACGTTTCCCAAAAGCTTACAATGTCTCAGTGCTCCCTAAAACTTGTCTCAACGCTCCCTTGCCTAGGGAGCCTTAAGACAATTTACACCATTTGGTGAAATACATTTAAACAATTTGAATAATATTTTGGAAGCATGGAATAGTATGGGAAGTTTAACTAAATCGCACACAATTCATTTGCCCTATATGTAATCTTCAAATTCCAAATTGTATAATGTATATAAAATAAAATTCATTTTTTGTCTCAAGTCTCCATAGTCTCCCCTACATAACTCTTCCATCCATTAGAATATAGTTTCAGCTGTATAACATACCTCCTTCATGCACTCTATGATAGCCACAAAAAACGTGATAGCTAGAAACTAGTTTACGATTTGAGGTTATTGTGGATTTATTGTGCGGTGTTTTGCGCTGTCAGGAACAGATTTGTTGAAAAACTATGACTTCAAGAGCTATGTTATTAGTGAATTTAGCTTTAAAGCTAGATACCCATGTTCGTATAGAGAAGATTGCTGACAATTCTACTGAAAAAAATGAAGATCATGGTAATTCTAGCCTAAAACAAGATTCTCCAGAATTATTAAAGGATAATGAAAACAGCAAGTTCCACGCACAGGGTATGTACTTCTTTGCACATTTTGGCATTTAATGTACCTATACATACTTAATACTATAATATAGAATAGTACATACTTCATATATTAGCCTTTTAGCTGTAAGAGTTTTGCTTGGACTGTGTAGGTTCTGCTTAGTCTCCAAGGATTATTCATTCGAATAACTTATTTGAACCGAACTCTTTACATTGTAGACATAATATGTTGAAACCCTCCAATTAAAGTCATGATTTTTTCAGCTTTGAAGCCGTATGAAGTGTTTATGGACTACTCACAGAGCCCTCAAGCTTCTACGTCAAATCAAAATCTGCAAGTATCAGCTAGTGGAATGAATGATATGAATACAAGGCCTACAAATAGACTCACCCAGGGGACTTATAAGAAATTATTATGTATGTGATATTCACCAGAGAATAATATAAAATCACTGAAACCCATTGAGTCTAAATGACAATATCAAGTAAAATTGTTGTAATTTGAACAATTGAATTTGGAAACTGTCCCTGAGTTATTACGATGATTCTGAGATATCATTCTTGCTGCAGAAAACCACTGTTACGCCGAGTATGCCAACATGCATGTATTTTTTCAGGTGACGTGGAGGAATGCGACCTAGATGGCGATTCATCCGATGACGAATACCAGCTTGATGGAAATGATGACACTGATTCAACCGACTGTGATGGAGAAAAGAGAACAAGTAGAAAAAAAAGTAAAAAACAAACTAAACATCTTCAACCGATAGAAGATAAGACTGCAATTTCTGAACTGAGAGATAAGAACAATGGTACGGAAGACAATACTTCCATACGTCACGTTGAACATGTAGCTCTGGGTGACCAAAATGGAGGACAGACTGCATGTGCGGTTGAGGTTAAAAGAAAATCCTTTACATTGAAACCAAAGGCATCCAGAAAAAGACAGACACCCAGACCTGCAAAAACAATAGAAGGCGGTATTCTATGTCCTCAAAATTGCCGACTACGATGTTCTGATTACTGTAGAAGAAAGAGGAGAATTATTAAATTCTTTCTATGCATTGCTAAAAAATGTTTACTGCTCAACAGTATAATACACAGGCAAACAAAAAGGATGAGAACTGGAGCAGTGAATCACAAAGCAGCCTCATAAATACTTCGTGACATTGAGTGGCAAATAAACTCCTGTATGCAAACGAGCTTTTGTATCTTTATTCCAAATTAGCGACAAAAAGGTTGACTTGATACAAGCAAAAATGAAGGCAGGCCTGGCTGCCCCTCCACCAGACAGAAGAGGAAGCATAGCAGTAGACCCAACAAAACACCTGCAGATGTTGTAGATTACATTATTCAGCACATATCTAGTTTCCCTGCAGAATAATCACACTATTCGAGAAACTGTAACATTCACAAGAAGTACTTATCTCCTCTGTTGTCAGTTCCCAAAGAATGCACCTATCGCTTTCACTTCAACAACTAATTCAATTTATCGTTTGGCTATCCCAAAAAGTGACACGTGTAGCACGTGTGATAAGGGCGATTCAAATGAAGAACACGTAGAGAACTACAAAGAAGCTTTTGAGGCTGAGAGAGTTGACAGAAGAAGCTCAAACAATACTGTATCATCACTCTTGGATTTGCAACAATGCCTTTGCCCCGGTTAATCCTAGAGAGGTCGTTTAACTCTAGTAAGCCATATCACGTTGTTGATGATAGTCGATTTTCGATAAATTGTGATTGCGGACTTACAGTCCCGCGCGAGCTCTCGTGTTATACTGAAGAAAAATAAATTTCATACAGGTAAAGTAAAACTTATATTATTTTGAATGTGTTTACTATATTAATTTGGTTTGATTTTCTAGAATGGGTGAATACGAAAAGATAACATAAGCGTGTGTAGTCAACATTCAGATACAGAACAACAAGTTTCAGATACAGAAGTGGATTTGAATCAATCCTTAGAGCCGGCAGACACAGGTCCTTATTTCATCGGTAAGGACAACGACACGAAATGGAGAAAACATGTACCTCCAAGAAATGTCAGAACTAGGTCAGAAAACATTGTAACACGATTTCCAGGACCTAGAGGCGACCTAAAAAATC